CTGGAGTTTTTTTTTTTTTTTTTTTTTTTTTTTTTTTGAGACAGGGTCTCACTATGTAGTTGAGATTGACCTGGAACTCACTATGTAGTCCAGGCTGGTCTCCAACTCACAGAGATCCTCCTGCCTCAGCCTCCAACACACTGGGATTACAGGCATGCGCCACCACACCCGGCTTGAAGTTCTTAATAAAGAGAACATTTGCCAAACAGGGATATGATTTGTCTCATATGACCCAGTTTTTAAGAGGACTTAAATATTTTGTGCCTGTTTCCTTTTTTGGAAAAATGTTGATAATAGTATTTTTAAAATAGCAGTACATAGGGGCTGAGATTTTGCCCAGCGGTTCCGCCACCTGCCTCTCAAGCACAAAGTCTGGAGTTCAATCCTTGGTACCCACAGAAAGAAGCAGTAGTACATAGTACCTCTTGTTTTATTTTTAGTTTTTTGGAGACAGGGTCTTGCTATATAATTCAGTTTGGCCTTGAGCTCACTAAGTTTGTGATCAGGCTGGCCTCAAACTTCTGGCGATCTTCCTAACTTAGTCTCCCCAGTGCTTGAACTACAGGGTGCACCACCACATCTGGCTCATTTGATTTATTTTTTTTCTGGAGACAGAGTCTTACTACGTTCCCAGGCTGTTCTTGAACTTGTGGACTTATGTGATCCTCCTAAGTCAGCCTCCAAGTAGCTGGGAAAGCAGACATGCAACACCAAACCAGCTAGTACTTAAGAGTTTTCCTAACTATTAGCCATTTAACAGTTTACCCCAGCATCTCTTGGACAGTACATTTTACTTGCTATCGACTGTCACTGGGGCAGGTGTCATTTCAACCTGTCAATTCTTGTATTGATTAAATTTGACAAAACTGTCATTTTTAGATTTCCTGTCATAAAAAGCATTGAAAAAAATACGCAATGTTTGGTCACCTTGTATTTAAATGAGTGGACTGCTAAGTGTTTAAGCAAGAGAATCCATACAAAGTGCTAACAACATTGCGAGACAAATTTTAAGGGCTCAATAACTTTAGTCTGGCTTTATAATTAGGACGCCAAAACTTAGAGATTTGTAAGAAATCAGCTTGGAACCCGAGAACTCCCACATCTATGGATGAAACAGCTAGCTAGAGGAGGGCCAGGGATTTAGCCCAGCGGTTCTGCCACCTGCCTCATGAGTGCAAGGTCACAAGTTCGATCTCTGGTACCAAAATAAAACAAAACAAAACAAAAATAGCTAGATGAGACATTTGTAAAACACACTCTCCTTTACTTCCTTTTGGTACCAGGGATCGAACTCAGGTCCTTGTGCTTGTGAGGCAAGTGGTGGAACCACTGAGCTAAATCTCAGGCCCCTTTTGTTTTTTGGAGACAGAGTCTCACTATGCAATCCAGGCTGGCATGGGATACACTGTGTAGCCCTGCAACTCATATCCTCCTGCCCCACCCTCCAGTAAATGTCTTTTATTCTTTTTTTCCATATCGGGGATCAAACTCAGGTTCTTGCATTTGCGAAGCAGGCAGCAGAACCACTGAGCTAAATCCCTGGCCCAGTAAATGGTACTAGGGATCGAACTAGTAAATGTCTTTTAAATATTGATTTAAAACAATCAAGGCTCACGGGCTGGGGATGTAGCTCACTGTTAAGAGTGTTTGCCTGGCAAGGCAAGGCCCTAGGTTTGATCTCCAACACTGCAAAAACCAAAAACACATATAGAAATTGAAAGAAATAACTCCAATTCAGAGTTTTCTTGCCTGAAGTCTCACAAAAAAAGTGAGACTACCTGTGTTTTGGTGATGGTGGTGGGGATACTGGGATTGGTGAACTCGGGGCCTTCAGAAGGAGCTACATGTGTAGCGGTTTTACTTTATTTTTGAGACAGGGTCTTGCTACTGGTCTTGAACTATGTTACCCAGGCTGGCCTTGAACTCAGCCATCCTCCTGTCTCAGCCTCCAGAGTGGTGGGATGACAGGCGTGCACCAGTATGCCGCACTCTCAGCTCTCTTTAGTACTTTCTTTTGAGACAGGTCTCTATCTTCCCCAGGCTGGGCTTGCAATTCTCCTGCCTCACTCAGCCTCCCAGCACTCCCACCACACCCACCTCCTACTACGTAATTTATCTAAGGCTACAAATTGAAGATTTATTTTATTTTTTTGGAAACAGGGTCTCACACTACGTAGTCCAGACTGGCCTCAAACTCTCCTGATCCTCCTGACTCAGCCTCCTAGGTACAACATGAAGATTTAAACCTGCAAACTTACCAAGAAGCCAACTATCCTTGAGCATCCCAGCTTCAAACCGACTACTTAGGGAGGACTGCTGCAGCACAGCACAGTCGTGTAGGCTGCCAGGCCAGTTTGTCTCCACCGTCATCAGCGTCCCTCTGATGTCACACACCATCAGGCAGTTTAGAGAATGCAGACCTTTGTGGTTCACGTAGGAGAGGTCTTCGGCATTTGGTGCCTTGATTGCCACGTGGATGCAGTCAACCACCCCTACCACCCCTGGCATCCCTGCCAACCCATAGAATTCATCCTTCAGAGCCTGCACAGAGGCTTCGTCAGCTGGAAAGTGAATGAACTGGGAGGCTCTTTCCATAAGTGCTTCAGTGACATTGGCAACACAGCGACTCATAGAGGCCTGGCTGATTCCAATGGCATCTCCCATCCGGGTCTGGAAGGAGCCTGAGGTATAAAAGCCCAGTGCTGCAAGGATCTGTGTCTCTGGGCTGATGGCCCTGGACCGCTGAGTAGGTCGAGAAAGACTGGGCCCCAAGAGCTCCACCAGGTAATAAATGAACTCTCGGGGAAACCCATACATGGACATCAAGTCTTCATCGGACACGTCATGCAGCTTAAAACGGTCCAAAGTCCGGTGACCCCGGCCGTACAGCAGGAGATCACAGTCCAGCACTGTGATGGGGATGGCCATAACCACGTGAATGCTGCCTCTCCTGCTACTTTTTCTGAACTCTTCTCATTGAAGACCTTGGTGCCAGAAGGTATTAAAGGAAGTGTCAGCGGAACTCATCAGCTAACCCTAAGTTAAACAGCTCTGACGGTTATAATCTTCCCTCTGTAAAGGTTGAAAGAAAAAAATAATTAGGAATGTACCAAGGACCTGAAAGTGACTCAAAGGCTGCAGCAGCACCTTTTTTGTTCAGGCAAAAGGTGCTGTTCCTGTAACTCAGGGTTTTTCTTCACGAAACGGTTGCAGGAGAAATTTGGCCTGGTTTGAAGCACATTGGGAGTTTAATGCTCATCTGATGCCTGTATTTTAAGTGAAAATGGCAAAAGATTAATATGGGAGGTGGCATAATTATTTTCAAGGTAAAAGACTTCTGCTCCTAATTAGGCCACAAAGCAGCCGACCCGTCCTAACTACCTTAGGTAAGGATTAGTCACAGGTTTGTTATCCAGAACCCATGGCTCTACCTAGTAAGAGCGGGACAAATGTGGAGGTGCAAAAGCCAGTCTACTGAGGAAGGGGAGAGCCCAGGACCCAGCTTGAAGGATTTGTGCCTGTTATTAATAACAGGCTTTCTCCGCACAAAGAAATAAAATTTTAAAAATCTTTCAATCATTGTTTTGAGACATGGTCTGTGCTACGCAGCCCAGGCTGGCCTCAATGCACGGCGATCCTCCTGACTCAACCACCCTGGTGGTGGGATCGCAGGCAAGCGCCACCACGCTCGGCTAAGAATTCAAATGTCGACACTGCGGGTTAGAAAGTAAGAAGACCAGTCAGTCTGAAAGAAAGAGCGAAAGAAGAGGCTGTGGAGCCAGGCTTGGGAGGAACTCCGCCGCCTTTACAGCGCGCCTTAAACTCGGCTACGAAGACTGACTGCGCCGGCAGCTCCACATCGGCTAAAGCCCGACACCC